AAAAAGAACATTTATTGGATTGTCCCTGATTATAAATTTAAAATATCATTGAAAAAAACTTGAAAAACAGAAAAAAAATTGCCAAAAGGTTAAATCTACAAAAGGGGCTTTTCATAACATTCTTAAATTCTTGGTATATTTCCTTCTGGACCTTATTCTATATGTCTTATTGAAATTGTGGTCATATCGGATATACAGTTTTTATATGTTATACAATAAGCTCTTCCCCATGTCATTAATGACCTTTGGCAATGTGATTTAGAATGACTGTGTAATATTTTACTATATAAATGCACTATGATTTTAATGAAATCACCCAATGTGAAACATTTAGATGGTCTCTAATTATTCAAGATGATGACTAACACTGTGATGAAATAGTTAGACATTTTTAACCCTCTAGGCTCCTACAATAAATAAAGAATTCACAAAGCCAATAAGATTAAGCAGACTTGAATTTGCAGAAGAAATGAGCCGCGAGGTTATCTTTTCATATCTTCCTCCTGTTTCCTCTCTGATCTTAATTAGAATAAATCTTTTGATATGGAAAGCTGACAAAAGTAAAATTATGAACTTTAGCCGGGGGAGTCATAGGAAGTCTGGGTTAAATCATTTATGAAGGTGGATATTCAGCTCCCACCTAGAAATCTACAAAAGGGGCTTTCATTCCATGAAAATTATAGACTATGATGACATCCTGTTACCAACTGGCACCAAGACAAACACTCATCAAATTATTATAGGAAGGAAGAAATGAAGAAATGAAAGAAAGGAGGAGGAAGATGGACATAACGAGGCAGAAATGATCTATAACAATATTTATCAGCAATATCCAAGGCCACTTTTGCAAAGCTGAGTAGATTTTCCTTCTGTCCACTCTATTCATGGTAAGAGGCTGGGCATGGTGGCTCACGCCTGTAATCCAAGCACTTTGGAGGCCAAGACAGGTGGATCGCCTGAGGTCGGGAGTTTAAGACCAGCCTGACCAACATGGTGAAACCCCGTCTTAAAAAAAAAATAAAAAATAAAAAAGAGGGAAAAACAACCATGGCAACTCAGAATTCCCTAATAGACTACTAATCCTGTCTTGAATAAAAAGCCAGAAGCTTGGCTATAGAGTCAAGAGGAAGGAGTCAAGAGTTAATCGACTCAGGATCAAGTAGGACGCACACTTAGTGATGTTTGAGAGATGATGAGTCCTGAGAGGTACTAAAGAGAGTACGGAAAAACCAAACCACAGGAGTTCTTTCATGAGACTATTCAAGGATGCTCATTTCTGCCTCCCTAATAATCCATTTCTGCCTGCTATTTATAGGCCCTAAAGGAAAGCTCCCATCGGCAAGTTAGATTTCCCACCCAGCCCCCTTTATTTACAATATATGGAGAGCTCAAGTCAAAGAACTGGAGAAGATTAAAACATGATTGAAAAAAAAAGAGGGCTCTTCCCTCTTTTTTCTTCTTCTTTTTCTTTTCCTTTTCATAGGAAAAGAAGCATCAAAATATTGATTCAGCATCTCTATGTATCAGACACAGTAGTATCTCTGTCTACACATCTAATGCCACCTATGTAGTACACATTTAGCACTCCCAATTTAGTGAAGGAGAGAATCACAGCTCAATGTGACAATGGCACCACTGATGGAGGTATGCACAGTGCTCTGCTTTTGTCTGGGTGAAAGTTGGAAGCACCAGGGAAAAATTTCAAGAAAAAAAAATGATGCCTCAGTTGAGTCTTTAAGTTTCTTATTAAGCCTAATTTAAATAAACACTAAGAAAAATTTGGGGAAAAAATGAGTGTCAGTATTGTACTACTTTATTTTTTAATAGTCATCCTCTTAATTATTACAAAGTAACAGAGATTAAGAGTAATTCTCCCAAAGTGACAAAGCATCTGGAAATCAGACCTACCTGGTGTCCAAGATCTTGGTGTACTTAGTGTGTAGGAACATTTGCATGTGTAGGTACACATATGTGTGCATATGTACATGGGTATACATATACATGTACATATATATATGTATGTGCATGTATACACACGCACCTTAGTTTTACCCTCCCTTGCAAATCACTTAAACGGGGCCTCATACAGGCAACTTTGGATGGGAAGGTGAACAAGAGGGAACATGCAGATACAAAGTCCCACTGCATGTCCCCTATGAACAATTCCTCTGTGGCAGCCACTCAAAATGTTGCTTTTCTGTCCATCCTGAAAAAAAGTAAAATCTGTCTGATCTAAGAGTTGTAGAAGTGCTGAATAGAATGAGCCTCACAACCATAAACCCCTTTGTATCCAGGCAGAGCTACTCCACATTTCTCTCATACTTTGGGACTGAGGAGAAAGAGACTATGCAATTTCCTGACAGCCTCCTGTTTGAATGAATTCTCTGATGAAAAAAAAAATCATTCAAGTCTCTGTTTACTAGCCTTTATATAAAAGTCTTTTTGGTAAAGGAGAGAAAAGAAAGACCTTTACAGTCAGAAAGACCTGGGGTCAATTTCTATACTTACTACAAACTAGCTATAAAACCATGGGCAAATTATTAATTTTTCTGAACCTTGGTTTTCCTATTTCTAAAACTAGAATTTTTAAAAATGACAATTAACATGGCTACCAACTAGCCAGCTAGATAGCCTAGCACATAGTTTGTGCTAAATAAATTTCAGTTCTCTCTCTTTCTTCACCTGCCCCCTATATCACACCACTCCTTCTAGTAGTATTTCACATAAATGTGACTTTCTAGCTGAGTTTCAGTGAGGAAACGAGCCTTAGGTTCAAACAGGACCAAGCTTAGCAAGATTTGAGAGATATCCGGGAAAACAATAGTCAATAACTTCATCCCTGACTATTTCTGTCTCCCACACCCCCAATCCTGGCAACACTGTATATTTCTCAGCCAAGATCTGTCCTCCTCATTAAGCCCCTGATTTGGGGTTTATAAATGTAAAAAAGAAAAATGAAAGAAGGAAGAACAGAAAAGAGAAGATAGTAAAGGATAAAAAGGAGAGCGTAGGTAATAGGAAGACAAGTAAAATTTCTGCTGTACTACTGAGAGAGGCTGTAACCTTAGACAAGTTGTTTTTTGAGGCTTAGTCTCCCCATTTAAAAATGTGTTTAATAAAATCTATACCATAAGATTATCATGAAGGTCACATGAGATGATATGTGTGTCTGGCAAGTAGTAGGTGTCCAATTAAAAAACTTATGTAATATATTTTGAATGCTTACAATAAGCCAAATCTTTGGCTAGGTAAATCACCTATACTACTTCAGCTTAATTAATATTATTATTTATTATCAACACAAAGAAGAACAGAAGAATAGAATCTTATATTCACATTAGAACCATAAGGGGCCTTAGGGCCACCAAGTCCAACTGCATAATTTTGTAGATAAGGAAACCCAAGGCCAGGGACATAGTGACTTGTACAATCTCACATGGTTATTTAGCAGCAGAATCTAGTCTAGAATCCCAGCCTTCTACCTCTGTGTATACACGGTGGGAGATGTAGCTAGAGGAATTCCTGGAAGCCATGATCACTCTTTTGGGAGTAGTAGCTCCATGGAAACTGACCTGATCCACCATCTCTCCGTGCAGCCAGCACCCCCACAGTCCTCATGAGGAACATGACTCCTGTTCATTCATACTCCATTCTGTCACCCACAGGCTCATAATTAAAAGGGAATACACAAGACTTTGGTTTCTGAGGCTTTCATTAAGAATTGGGTGAGCCACAAGCAAGCAGACAACCAGACAGGAAACCTTGGATTAATGCTAATCCCCTTGCTTTATAGACACTCATTAGAGAGTGGCTGCAGGTCCCGCAGAGAGGAAGCAAAGCCAGCTTCAGGGAGCTTGCCAGCCCTTCTTCTGAGGGGGGAATCTCAGTTTAGAGAACATTATCTTTTCATGTTTTTCTCTGATAGGCATTGCAATGATTCACATTCATTCCCTCGGTGTCAGAAAGGGCTGTGAAGCAGTAACAGCTAAGATTCTTAACGCATTTCTAATATTAAAATTCAACTTAATTAAGTAGGGCTATTTTTTTTTTCCTGAGCAGCAATCAAGCTTTAATTAATACTCTATTAAAGTAAATTCCTTGGGGGAAGGGAGATATAATCATGCGTACACCTAATGAGTTCATCTGCCAAGGGTGTTATTATAGATGATGCTAAATATGCCTCCTTGCTGGCCACTTACTCAATTTCAGCATGTCCCATGTTAATCAGAAATGAAAAGCAATCATAGGTTTGCTACCATCCTCCTCTCCATGAGGCCCCTCTGCCCTTGCAGCAGCTTAACATAAGCTATCCTTCCTTCCTCTTTCTTCACTTGGTAAATTTTTCAGGTTGGGCTTCAAGCCTAGCCAGGTTCCTTGGTGGAGGGCATCTGAGTCCCCTTTCAATGCCTGTTACTCCATATTCAGGCACAGTGAGGACCAACTTTAATATCACCCCACCACAGAGAAGATTAAATCCCCTGTTAAAAAAATAAAAACATAAAAAAATGCATCTGTAAACTCTACATGTTCCTTGCTGATAGCAAAGATATCTGATCAAAGTTCTGTGAGACTCTCATTTCTGAAAGGAAACAGCAACCAAGAGAAATTAGGTGTGGAGTGGGAAGAGAGTCTCTTACATTTCTTCTTGCCGTGACCATTGCTATATCAGGGATTCCCACATTTCTCCAGCTGCAGATTGCATGCTCTAGCAGATGCCCCAAAACCACCTGTCTCCATGACCCCCTTTCCTCACTAGATATTATGGGACGAAATTTTGCCCCATTCTGATAGAGACCTAAACGCAGGTTATCAGGAACAAATTGTTAATATTACCAAAGTTAAGAGGTTAGCAACCCCAACACTACCCAGGACCCTGGTCAGACCTTCAGGGTCATTTTACTAGGAAGCCGACCCGACCCTGGCAGGACCGAATGCTCTCTCTCCACTAGCTCCCCTTACCTCTTTGGTGTGTGTGTGGAAGGAGACAGACATGTCCAGGAGAAGCTTCCGCTGCTCCACCCTGCGCACGAAGTCTTGGATGCGCACCTCTAGGTGTCGAGCTGCCTTGTAGATCTCCTCGGGGTCACATTCCCCGGTCTGAGCCAACTGCTCCGCTGCTTCTAGAAGCTTGTCCGCATTGGTGTACGTATTCTGCCAGCAACAACAGCGAGACAAAGTCAAGTTGCAGTTGCGCCTTTCAGCAGCCCACCCCGGGGCTCCCCTGAGCTGAAGTGGAGGGCGTGGGCGCTGAGCCGACAGCTCCCTGATCTGGCACTGAGGCGCGGTACGCGGAGCTGGCACGCCGCCTCTCAGCAAGCTAGCAGCCTGCCTGACTGCTCTGCACAGGCGGGCACCAGCTAGGTGCCTCATCAACCCCTGGGATTTCTCAGAGGTGCAGTGTCCCTAGAAAGAAGTGGGGAGAACTTGGAGAATCTCAGTACCCCAGATGCTCCCTATCCCCTGCTCTCAAAAAAAACCATCACTGCCCTCACATCTCAGGCTGTAACTGCCAGGATCAGAAATAGCACTCCCACAAAGACGGTCTGTATATATATGTGAGAACAGCAGAAAAACAGTAACTGGGAGACTCGCTTTGCTTTTTTCCTCAAGTTCCCTGTAACTACTGGTATTTATCTTTTTGGAACAGAGCAATTTCTTTGGAGGGGAAGGGATCAGCAACTCTAGGGAGCTGACAGAAGGCAGCGGCCACAGCCAGAGGGAGGAGATGCAGGCTACTCCCAGTGGGCCCAGGGAATGTCTGTAGGAAGGTTGGGGAGGAATCTGGTGATTTTGTTCATCATAAGCTACTGCATGCACACATACGCACGTATAATCGTCCAACCCCCATCTGTACACATCATGGTATTCTCCAAAGCATTTTAAAAGGCAACTAACTTGTAATTATTATTCATCAGGATGGGAGCCACTGCCTTTAGAATAGTTACTACTTTATATGCCACAGATACAGCTTTTCCTCAGCAGGCTTCTCATTTTGAAAGTCTCCTGATATGTCCTGACTTAGATCTGGTGACTCAGGTGAACTATATTACTTAGTATCCCTAGAGTTGGCACAGAACTCTAGAGTGGCGAACAAGTAGAGCAGTCAATATCAAATACAAAGTGAGTGGAGAATTGAAATGGATTCATGAGCAATGACTGTCTGGTGCTTTGTTTGCTTGTCTGTAAGGAGTGTTTTAGACTCACTTGAAGACCTGGGTGTTATGGACTGACTTGTGCACCCCACTCATATTCACATGTTGAACTCCTAACCCCCAATATCTCAGAATGTGACCTTCCTTGGAAACAGGATAATCATAAATGTAATTAGTTACATTAAGTTCAAGTCATAGTACAGCAGGATAGATCCCTAAGCCGATATGACGGGTGTCCTTATTTTAAAAAACAAAAGGCCATGTGAAGAGACAGATATTCACACAGGGAGAATGCCACATGAAGATGAATGAAGAGATTGGGAGATGCATCTACAAGGCTAAGAATGCTAAAGACTGCCAGAAAACTACCAGAAGTTGGAAAAAGGCACAGAGCAGTTTTCTCCCTCATATTCCTAAGAAAGAACTAACTATACTGACACTTTGATCTCAAATGTCTAGCTTCCAGAACTGTGAGAAAACAAATTGCTGTTATCTAAGTCACAGTCTCATGGTACTTTGTTACGACAGCCCTAGGAAACTGAGACTCTAGAGTTGAAACTTTCAGAGGCTGTGGAGCCAGCCTCTTGATTGTACTGGCATGGGACCTGGGGAAGATGGGCAGGCAAACACTTGTCTTGGCTTCTAGGAATTTGGAGAGAGGCCCCAGGGATCCATAAGGAATGCTGCTTGAAAAGCAACTTCCCAAGGCAAACATTGTTCCAATGCTGGTGAGAGTGAGTTGAAAAAGTCATCTGCATTGTCCCAATGCTTGAAAGACAGGATTTAAAAACAAAAATCATTTCACCCCAACTTAGAAATTCAAGTAAAAACAGCAGCTTCATATGAGGAAATGAGTTTTGCCACTGGGTTAAAGCAAGATATGTCAATTCTGGAAAGCAGATGAAGGAAGTCATCCACTCATGACAGAAATGCAGGGAGACATGGGGAATGACAGGCAAGGGGAGACCTCTAGGGCTGTGGGTCAGGTTAAAGAAAGCTCTTATGGGACTGCCTACAATTCCTAGTATATACACCCACAGCTGATGGGAGAAAGATATTTTAGGAATCCCTCAAATTCTAGAGAATCTCAGGATTTCCCTACCAAAACCCCCAGAGATTGTAAATTTATATTCTGTAGACAATAAATAAAAATTTGTGGCAAAGCCAAAAAGCTTGCTTGCAAATTAGGTTTGGGTCCAATAAGAAATAAGTAAAAAGCCAAACTGAAGTGTCTACTACATGTAAGCTGATCAATTTGTCCCAGTTTGTCCAGGACTTTCCTGGTTTTAGCATAGAAATTCCTGTGTCCCAGAAATCTCAGTCCTGGGAAAACTGGGATGGCTGATCACCATAATACATATCCAATACTGTTAAGTGCCCCAAAAGTACAGATATATATATAAAATGTATTTTGTCTCAAAGAAAAATAAAATCATTCTTGAGAGAAATAACATGACAATACATAAGCTGGGGCAAGCAACAAACAGATAATAGGGGTTAAAATTTCTCGATATGATATAGAGGCTGAAAAAAAGGAGTGAAAACTGAGAATAATAGTAGCTAATAATTATTAAGTATTTTACACATGAAAGGATTGTTCTAAAGGATATCATGCATATTATCTCCTTTAATCCTCGCAATAAACCTATGAAGTTGATGCAGACATCATACCCATTTTACAGATGAAGAAACTGAGGAACAAAGAACTTCTGGCCAAAGTTACATGGCTAGTAAGTGACAGAACCAGGATTAAAACCCTGTTGGTGGGCTTCAGAGGCCAAGCAACAACCCATTAAACTACCCTGCCTCTATACAAAATACAAGCAGGAGCCTGAGGATGAGGAGGATTTAGCAGAATGGGAGAAGGGCTTTCCACAGCCAAGCCTGTCTTCTTTTTGCACCCAGGGTACTCTGTATTTATTCCACTGCACAGCCATAACCTTACTTTATAGTAACAATGTGTCTCCATGGTATCTCCATACTGGTCTGTGAGCTCCTTAAAGGCAGGTTCTATGTCTCATTCATCCTTGGTCCCCCAGGCCAAGCACTGTGGATGGTATGTAATAGGCATTTACTAAGAGTTTGCTGAATAGACAAGCCAAAAATGAGTAGACCTGTTTGAATAAGTTGAGTTAACCTAACTACAATTGGAGAGTGGCAGGAAATCAGGTTGGATAAGCCAGTGGATAAGCTAAAAGATAGAATTTATAGAGAGAATGGAACAATAAAGACAGGTGGGAAGGCAATAGGGTCAGTGTTAGAGCTGGGCTTCCAGCTCTGCCTCTGCTCAGCTGTCTTCCCCATTATTAGTAGAAAGAGCTTCTAAAATTCAGATCCAGTCACAACTGTCTTAAAACTGTTCAGCGGCTTTCCACTGCCTTTGGGGTGAAATGTCTTGGCATGGTATGTCAGGCCCTTCTTCATCTGACACCTACTTTTTCCCTGTAGCTTTACCTCACATTACTTCCCAACAAACAGCCTATGAAGTAAATTACTTGCATTCCCCTAAACACTGCACTGAATCTTGCCTCTGTGCCTTTGCACATACTCTTCTTCAGCCTGAGATGCCCTTCCTTTCAATCTTCTATTTACTCTTTAAGACCCAGCTAGCACACTGCTTCTTCCAGGAAGTCCACCCTCATATCATCTTCTCTCCCAAGGCTAGCTCATATGCCCTCCTCTGGGCTGCTAGAGTGAGCTGTACGAACGCTCTCCATGGTACCTCCCACTTTCTAGTGCAAATGTTTACCTTTCTTATCTGCTTAGGGGCAGATAATGTCTTTTATTTCTTTCCCTTAGTGCCTGACACCTAGTAAGTACTCCGTAAATATTTAGTAAATGAATAATTAAAGAATATATCAACCTCCACCCATCTTAATATTCAACTCTTGCTCCTTATCAACTACCTGGTACAAGATCTTACATCCTAGAATTCATGTTCAATGTTCAATTTTATTTGGCATATCTTACCTACTGGCACAGCTCTGAATTGGTATATCCTACCTCCTGGAACAGCCTTAAAATAGGAATGTGTATGGAGAATATCAACTAATGTATTACCAAAGCAATACTTTGGCTCCTGTCAATGCCCCCAAAGTGGGGCAATGATCACAACAGGCTTCTGCTCACTTTCTGACCAAATCAACAACAGCTTTTGATCCAGGGCCAGAGTCTGACCTTGCTCTGAACGTAGTTTCTAGACATTCTTTGGTTTCCCAGCCTCCTAATCTCTGCCTTGGACTTGATCCCTAATTGACATTTCTCAATGGATATGCCAAAAATGCGTTATGAGTGCTGGGGTATAGATCCCTCAGCTGTTGGAGCTTTCAGGTAAGCCCTATGGTAGACAGAGCCCCTGATTCAGAGATAAAGGCCACACTGATGGCTGTGGTTCCTGTTCTTCCCTCTCCAACACCCCATGACTGTGCCAACCAGGTATGATGCCCTAGATAATTCAGCCCTTAAGTCTAACTCCAAATGCTCTATTAAAACCTTGGCCCATTACTTTTAGATTTTCTCCCCAGGGAAGAAACAGAACATTCTAGGATAATTTGTCTCTAAATATACAGGAATTTCGGCAATACAGGTATGTTTTCAGATTCTCTAGGCTGAAGCAGAGAAGCAGGAAGCATGCTTTTTAAAGGCAAGGAGTGGGAGAGTTAATAAAAACACTCAAGAGTCAAGAGCCTACTTCCCTGGTGTCAGGTCTCCATATGCAAGCGGGGAGCCTGAAAGTCTGAAGTCCTGCTTGCCTAATCATCTCCCACCCCCACCCCTACCTGTATGGGCCATTGTCCCTAATCACCTAGTGCAGCTTCCCCAGACAATCCCCTCACCCCACCCTGCCATCTTAACTGTTATTATAATACTTTTATCCCACCTGCCATTGTAACGGAACTTATGGTAATGTATACTCCTTGCCCCTACCCCCACCACTGTAACTGATCTTACTCTGTAACTTTCCACTGCCCACCCCAAACCTATAAAACCAACTCCTAT